GAAGTTGACTTGGCAGCGGGAAATGAAGTCACTGACGACCAGACTGGGTGCCGTTGGTCCGTCTCGCCTTCCGGGTTGGAGTCCACGTGACTCTCCTTGTACTTAGCTCGAGAGTTTACAGGACGTGGCTCGCAACGGACACCAGTGTTGCTTTTGCTTCCGTCTCCTAACGGGGTTGCCTGTTTAAAGTGTGTTGGGTGGTGAGTTATCTGCCGGGTAATGGCTGATTATGATGCGGTGCAGTGAAAGCCGCAAGGGAGCTGTTGCGCTGATACCGCCTTATCGTTTCACGATAATCAGCTGTTTGTGACGGTATGTTGTTAACACAAGGGGTAGACGCCTTGCCTCTGAATGTTTGCTTAGGGTAATAAGGTTTTCAGATAAGTCCCCCTTCTCTCTATCTTAGTATTGTTTATTCCATAGGTCACCATGGTTGTATGGCGGCGATGCATCAGTTCAAATTGTTGATGTACTGTTGTTGTTGATTGATTGTTGCGCTGTGTGCAAACAACGCACAGTCGTCAGCAAACAGCAACACACGGATAGTTGTCTCACAGATTAGGGTTCTTGCACCGAAACGACGGATGTTCAGCAACCCACCATCAATACGGTGCTCCACACGAACACCGTAAGTATAGGCGGTGTCCAAAGCACAACACATCATTGTATGAAGAAAAATATTAAACGGGGCAGGAGATAAGACACAGCCTTGCTTCACACCAGTGACAACTGCAAAGTCATCCGAGGTCTCTACTCAGCTGCACCCTCGCCCGCATACCACTATGCAGACATTCAATTAAACTTACAAACTTACTCGGATAACCAAGCGTATCCAACACGAGCCACAATGCCTCGCGGTTCACCCTAGCAAAAGCCTTGGTGAAATCAACACAAAGCGAGTGCAACGGCTGATGTCGTTCTCTACACTTCTCCTGCAACTGACGAGCCGCAAACACCATATCGATGGTGCTCCGACCCGAAAGGAACCCACATTGTTCTTCCGCCACGCTAGGTTCCACAACCTGACTGACGAGGCGGTTGAACAGGATTCGGACAATCACCTTGCTTACACAACAGCAAGTTGATGCCACGATAATTCGTGCAACATTGCTTGCTTCTTTTACCCTTGTACAGCGGTAGCACAAGGACATCCTTCAGCTTAGGAAGCACCTCTTCCTCAACCTACATGCATTACACCAAGTGTTGGACGCAGTCACCAAAGCCGGGTCCACCGTGTTTTAATCCTTCAGGCGGCATCCCGTTGGCACCGGCACACATGCAGTTTCGTAGCTGAGCAACTGCTCGCTGCGTCCCATCCACTGTCGACATGTCCACCGACCTCATATTCACCTCGAGCAGCTTAAGGCTGCTCAATGTAGCCCAGTCGACCTCTGAACGGCTGTTCAAGGGACAGTTAGTGTTCTCGCCAGATCTTCATTATGTCTGCAGTCTGTGGGCAGGTATCGTCTGAACTACCATCGAGTAGCCTCCTCACTGGTTCCAACCTCGGTCCATACACCGCCTTGAAGGAATTAAATAATTCCTTGTGTTGGCGGCGTTCGGCGTAGCATTCCATCTGCTTCGCCTTCTCCATCCACCATGCATATTTTATGCGACGCAGCTCTGGGATCAGTCGTCGTCAAATTCGTTGAAACTCACTCTTCTTCCCCAGGTTACTGAGGTCTACCACATGTCCAACAAATGCTGCATTCTTCGCTGACACCAATGCGCCAATCGTCGCATTGTCCTCATCAAACCAATCAGGTTGCTTACAGTTTGCGCGCTCGATGGTCTCTACGGCAACAGTTGTCACCGGGTCGCGAATGTGGTGCCACAGGTCGCCCACTGCAGCTATACATTCCAAGTCACACAGCCGTTCAGCCATAGCCTTCTCCAATTCAATACGTTTCGCCACAGTACCGAGGGAGAGAATGCTAAATTTACGCCGGTTCACGGCAGGAGGGAATACATAGATTTACGAACATATATGTACAGTTTGGTCCGCACCAATTTGTGATCAGTGCCACACTCAGATCCACGCAGTACACGTGTCATGCACACTTCACACATGTCACGCTGACGCACGATGACATAGTCGAGCACGTGAGCGTGACCACTCCGTGGGTGCATCCAAGTTGCTATATCACTCGCACTCAGTGCAAACCGAGTGTTCGTGATCATCAGGCCATGAGTGGCACACAGTGAGATCAGCCTGTCGCCATTCTCATTCGCTGAACCAATGCCATGCGGACGGATGACATATGTCCACACCGATGCATCACGCCCAACGCGCGCGTTGAAATCACCCAGCAGATATAGTCGGTCGCTCCTCTGCACATACCGTATCAGGGAGGATAACTGAGTGTAGAATTGATCACGTGTGTCATCAGGATAACACATGGTCGGACCGTACGTGCTTATAAAAGTGGCAAACTTACCTCTTCCGAGTCGTAGACGAACAGTCATCAGTCGCGCGCCGATGCCAGTGGGCTCACCCACCAACTGGCCATTGAGGCGATCAGATAGTGCAAATCCAACTCCATGTTCATGTGCTGCTGAGGTGACGTTGTCCACCCAGTAGAACGTATAGCCGGCACCAGCTTTATGCAACTCACCTTGCTCAGCGAGCCGGGTCTCGCTGAGTGACGTAAGTTCGATGTTGTAGCGTGCCAGTTCCATCGCGACCAGTGCAGTGTGTCGCTCGGGGCGTTCACTGGGACTTCGGTCCAGTAGCGTACGCACGTTCCACCAACCGATGCTGAGTGCTTTGTGCGCAGGCATACAATTGCATTGGTGGGCAATCGCACGTGTGGTGGTGGTTGTGCTTCGGAGGTTTGTTTGAGGGAATCCGCCCAGAGCCTTTGGCTCAATAGCCTGACCCACAAGACAGTGGGGAGCAAATCCAGCTAGGGAGTGTGATTGCAGAGCCAGATTGGGTTTTGATTAAGGCCCGTCACACGCAGCCTTTGAGGTACTGGAAAAATTCATGTGTTCTACGACCGTAGTAAGATACGTACCTGTGACCACGGCCAGACCAGGAGGGCTTTGGGGGGTTTGCACCTATTTGCATATCACATCGGACGTATTGCAAAACAAATTGGGCATTTTGTAAACCAAATTGGACACAATGCATTCTAAGCAAAAAAAAAACCAGCAATTTGTTAGCAAGAAATGGGAGGTAAGGCGACTAGGCGATGTTCAGACAACATTGTAGTCATGCTAATGCAACCGTAGTATGTAAGCAGCGGGTGCCACTGCAAACCCTTCTTTTGATAGTGAACCTTGATCACCTCAAGCAAAGGCGGCGACTAAGTTTCCACTTCCTTCCCCGTCGACATTTGCTTATTTTATGTGTCTGTGCCTTTACGCACGGACCTGTGTGTGACTGGAAAGTTAGAACCTCAAATCGCGCAGTCTATTATGACTTAAACAAATGTTACCTAGCTTTGGAGGGTCATAGTGAAGCACTCGTACTGTGTATGGATTGCGATGCGCAATCTCAATGTGGACAGCGATTTCCACTGAATTAATTCTTGGTCAATTCGATCACTTGGACCGCAAGTGATGAGCAGAGGCGGCGACCCAGTAGTTCCCTGTCAATCTATGGGCCTTCGAGTATTTTCGGTGGGTGTGTGGGCGAACCTATGCAGCTGCACAACTATTGGAACAGTGAAGGCTATCATGACTCCACCAAACCCACTCTAGCTTTACTGACATACTGCTGTAGTTTGTTATCAATGACAGGGGAGTAAGGCGACTAGACGATGTTCAGACCACATTGGGGTACCGGGGATGCAACAGAATGTGCAAGCAGTAAGTGACTGTGTAAGCCTTTTTTGATCATGGGTGTCGTCCACCTCGATAGAAGCCGGAGATCCAGATTCCCCTGTCCCTCCGTGGGCCTTCGCGAATTTTGTATCGATATGTTGGCGAACCTATGCAGCTGCTTGACTATTAGAACAGTGTAGCCTGTGATGAGCTTACCAAACAAAGCGTAGCTTTATTAGTCTTGTGCGTCACAAAACGACCGAAATGAACGATGAACGAAAATCGCCCACTGCATACAATGCCTACACATTATAGCTTAACTTGAAGTGAAAATTGACCCATAAATAGTTAGCAGTGACACAACAGAAAGGAGGGAAGCAAAAGCAGTCAGGAAAAGCGTCTCACAACACGTTCGCCTTTAGGTACTACCCTGTGTCAAGAAATATTGTATCAGAAATGCACTACGCGTGAAAATAGTGAGGTGGGATAACTACTCCCCACGCAACACGAGTGATCGATAGGTGCACACAGGAGTGCCTGGGGTACTGCTGATGAATAACTAATTTCAGTGCCTCTAGTCATCCCAATGGAAGAAATGTAGACAGATTGTGGTCCTTCAAGAGAAATGTCGCTAGCGCAGTCTCAACATATACGATGAAAGCCTTTTTCATGACCGAAAATACCGTTCACACTTCCCACAAATCAATTTCCAAAAAGTTATAAGGTAGTAACGCGTGGGCAGTTGCGCTTGAATTATAGGAGTGACCGATTTTCGTCCGAAATTTGCCTTACGGGGACGCACAGTGGTACGAAAATCGATCGCTCATCAGAGGCCCACCAGTCACACGCACCGAGTAGGTATTCGATGACAGAAAGAAAATCACTCATGAGTTAAGGCCCGTGGTGTCAATGATTGGTTATATTGCGCATTATATTTAAGCATGGCAAACTGTTTCTTTTTAAGTGCTCGTGAGTAGCCGACAGCACATGGCAATGAGACAAATGAGTGTCTTGTTATGATGGCGGGGTGCAACGAAGGCGTACGAAGGGGTTCGGATTTCCAGAACGGTCTTAATGACCAAATAAGACGCAAGAAGCAAACACACGATACTTCCTATAAGTCGGTCTCAAAAAACAAACAGCCAAAAAGTCATGCGAACAAAAAGACGAATAAAATAAATACGGGAGCTGAATGGTTGATAAAGAATCGATTACACAAATACGAAACTTACAAGCTCGTGAAACAAAACACCAACAGTGAGGTCCAGGTGAAGGGAAACCCATATTGGAGCTATCTTGTACTGCTTTTTAAATAGTTCTGCATCAGGAGAAAGCATAAATGTGGGTCGAAAAGGGTTCTTCACGATAACCGATAGAAGACATGGAAACAGGAAACGATCGTGTTGCCACTCTGATGAGTACATTGTGACAGGTGGGAGAGAGTCAACCGGGAGCTGCGATGTATAGAGAATAGGACAAACAATCATGATTAAATTTAAGGTCGTTGACCAGTTTAAGCCCTTACATTTGAGGCCAATGATGTAAAAATGTAGGTCGCTCTTACGTTAATGCGTTCAAGTTCAAGCGGGAGAGCAGTGATAGAATGCCGAAATGTTCCTTCTTGAGATGATCGCGGAGCCAGGTACTTATAAGAGGGATCTAAAGGGAAACACCTGAATCACACTCTAGTCAAACAATCACTGCCCACCTTTCCTGCACTAGCAGTCCCTACTGTGCCAGTAACGTAAGTTCAGCTCAGTTCAGTTGAACAGATGTGATTCGAGCACCGAAATGGGTTGGATTCAGTTTCCACGACTCATATCGCAAGAGTAACAATAAATAACAACGGCAAGATGGTGAGGTTAAAGGCAAATATAATGTAAAGAAAACGGAAGCAAGAAGGAAGTGCGTTAAACTAAGCAGAACAGAACGAAAAGTAACAACCAGATGCAAGAAACCGAATGCAGGAATGCCATTGAGTGCGGGACTGCGCCATGTCTGATACGGTCTCTAAACATTGGTATGGATCATCCAGAGGCCCCCATCCACGTAGACCGCACGCACCAGACAGACTAAGTATCTCAGATAATTTCTGCATGACTTCATACAATGTCATTGACTGGTCACTTCGCAAGTTCGCCCAACTTGGTGCAGCCACGACGCATAATGCACGCTGAGGAGGCCGATCAACAGGCGTACGGAGAACATGACCTAGCCAATGTAAGCGGTTAAGATTCAATAGAGACTCGAGAGAGGCACTCGAAGGCTTCTTGCCAAAAACCAACTGGCGGACCTCAACACTTCTTACTAGGTGTTACCACTAGATGTGAACGATACTCTGCAAGCACCGGCGGTCAAACGCCACCAAGCACTTAGTGTGTTCACTGCGAACTGGCTGAGTCTCAGATAAATAGTGTAAGACCGGCCTCACCCTACCCTTCACTGACAGACTGTTACCCCGCTGTCTCCATAGATGACTGAGTCTAAGAAAAGCCACACACGCCTTGCCGATACGCGAAGTAACCCCCTCAATAAGTTCACCAAAGCTACCAAGGTAAGTGAACCGATCCATCACTTCTAGTGGATGTTCAGTTGTAGCTAGAATCGAAGGTGTGTCGGTCCAAGATTGCAACAGTATTCTGCAATTGAAGCAGAAAAGCACATGTCGAAGCACGCAGCGCTACACATCAGTTTGTCCAGTAGTTGCAAAGTCACTACGTCAGACTCGACAGCTATGTCGTTCGCATACTTCAGGTATGTCAATCGGTCATCTGGCAGAAATTGCAATCCGGTAGTCTGAAAGAATGGAGTCACTCATTATCAGTCCGACAACAAAGTTGAACAGAAAAGTAGATATAGGACAACCTTGACGAACTCCATGTCGTGGGTAACTAAGGAGACAGTTTCCGATAAACCCTTACACAGCCTCAAGAGTCACGCAGAAGTTGCATAATGGAAAGAATTCAGACGGCACACCCTCCAAAGATAGTCAGTACCACAAGCTGGCGCGATAAGCAAAGTCGAAGGCGGCTTACAAGAAAAGGAAAACCACCATAGTCGGTCGTCTGTATAGATGCCTCTCCGGGTAAATACGTGGTTGATACAAAAACGATAAGGGCTGAAGCCAGCCTGGCTTTCAGTAATTCGGTTCTCACACGTAATCAATCAACAACAGCAGTACATCAGCGATTTGAACTGATGCATCGCCGCCATACAACCATGGTGACCTATGGAAAAAAGAATACCAAGAGGAAGAGAAGGGAGACTAATATGAAAACCATATAATCCAAAGCAAACATCAAGAGGCAAGGCGTCCACACCTTGTAATAACAACATACCGTCACAAACAGCTGGCTATCATGAGAAGATAAAGCGGTATCAGCGAGACAGTTCCCTTGCGCCTATCATCGCACCGCATCAGCCATTATCCGGCAGATAATTCACCACCCAACACACTTTAAACAGCCAACCACGTTAGGAGACGGAAGCAAAAGCAACACTGGTGTCCGTTGCGAGCCACGTCCTGTAAAGTCTCGAGCCAAGCACAAGGTGAGTCACGTGGACTCCAACCCGGAAGGCAAAACGGACCAACGGCACCCAGTTTGGTCGTCAGTGACTTCATTTCCCGCTGCCAAGTCAACTTCTGTCCACCTCGAGCCTTGCGCCATCCTACACCTGGCAGATTGAACAAGGCCCTCCTAGGTAAACGGTGACCGGGCATACGTAGCACGTGCCCGAGCCAACGCAACTTATTCAGTGCTATCTGCTGTGTATAACCACTATCTAGTACTCGAATACGCACATCATCGGTGCGGACACGCTGGTGCCATCTGACACCAGCAATGCTTCGCAGACAACGACGATGATCAAAGAGTTGAAGGCGTCTCAGATCTTCAGACCGAAGGGACCAAGTCTCACTACCATAGAGCAGGACTGCCTCAGTGTGGCTTTGCATACACGGCAATTTAGACGGAGGGAAACTCTCTTCTGTTGCCAAAGATGCCGCAGGTTCAAGAAGGCAACTCTGGCCTTTGCAATGAGTGAACTCACGTCAGTTTCTATGCGCCCATCATTGCTGATGCAGCTGCCAAAATAAGTGAATTGATCAACCACATCGAGTTCCTCGTTAGCAAGCGTCAAGGGGTCATCAAGTGGCTGGTGGTCCTGCAGCAACACTTTGCACTTTGAAGGTGCGAAGTGCATACCACATAATGGGACCACTCTGGATAGGCTATTCAGGGTTGATTGTGCCGCTTCAACATTGTCGAAAAGCAAGCATAATCTAGATCAACTAACCGTTCACCAGGCAGCACTTCAACGCCTACTTTGGAGATTCCGCAAGGGAACACTCCATGATAGAATCCACGACGAAATTGAACAGACACGGGGAAATCGGACAACACTGACGAACGCCACTTGTAGTCGGAAAGCTATCCGATGGGACACCATAGACCCTGACGCGGCCTCTAGTGTTCGAGTATAGAGCACGAAAGATGTTCACATATTTCGTGGGAACAACATTTAGCGTAAGTAATTCGAACAGAATCGATCGATCGACCGAATCGAAATCGAGGAACACAGCTATTGTCGGTCTGCGGTATGCGTGGCGCTGCTCTAGCACCTGCCGCAAAGTAAATATATGCTCTACACAGCCACGTCCTGGGCGAAAACCGGCCTGCTCTTCCCTAATCCGAGATTCCCGTTCTGCAGTGAGGCGACAAACGATAATCGAAGCCAGTAATTTTGTCACAACTGGCGTTAGGCTAATACCCCTGTGGTTCGCACAGTCTGTGCGACTGCCCTTTTTGTATATTGCCACTATAATCGATTCGCTCCAATTAGCCGGTACACTCTCTTCGTTCCAGATACGTTCGAATAGGGATGTCAGTGCCCTGCAGAGGACCTCACCTCCATCCTTAAATAGTGCAGGTGGTAGGGAATCCGGGCCAGCGGCACGAAAACGATTGAGGGCTGTGATCGCGTTTCGGACCTCGGCCTCTGACGGAGGCTCTAAACTAACCGTCCATGGCTCGTCCTGCATCACCTGAGTAGGAAGAGGTCCGGGAGCAGGGGGCCAGCTGAACTGATGTTCAAAGTGTTCAGCCCAACGAGCCATACGGCGCTCCTTATTGTGTATCACCGCACCCGCGCTGGCACTGATTGTCTCACTGACGCCTGGTTTTCTCGGACCAGTGGTGCGTATTAGCTGGAAGAGCTTGCGGTAATTGCCTACTGCTCCTGCCTCCTCCATTTCTTCAGCCCGACTGGTCCACCAGGCTTCCTTGTCCGCACGTAGGCTCCGCTTTAGTTCACGCCTAATAGCCCGTCTGGTCACATTGTGTTCAGAATCAGCCGGGAGGTGCCTTCTAGCTTCCAACAGGTTCACGGACCTCTCGGATATCCAGTGACTGGTGTGGTGACGACTGATAGTGCCACAAACAGATGCTCCTGCGTCGTGCATAGCGGTCGAGATACTATTCCACTGAAGTTCAGTGTCATTAGGACAAGACAGCGAGAGTTCGCTATGCAGTGCTTCGTGATAGGCTTGCCTGACCGAGGGCTGGGACAATTTCTCCGTTGCCAATAGTAGGAGACGCTTTGTGGGCCTTCCGGTAAAGTTCGTGGAGAAACGACAGCGTACCGAGGCATGATCAGAGTCGACACAGGTACTCCAGTACGAGTGGCAATCCAGAATGGAACCGCGCCACCTGTAACTAATGGCTATGTGGTCAACTTGGGTCCATCGCTGGCCAGCTACAGGTGGACGCCAAGTGGCACTTCGGCGCCCACTGTGTCTAAAAGCAGTGCTAGTAAGAAACAACTGATGCTCCGCACACAGTTGCAGCAGACGCTCGCAGTTGTCAGTCCGTTCGGAATTAATTCCACAATTACCACCCAGCTGAGCTTCTGAAGAGCTCAAACGCCCTACTTGTGCGTTCATATCCCCTGCAAGTACCATAATATCTGAACTGGTAGCACTGCGTAGTAGGGCGTTCAGTTCGTGATAGAAAGTGTCATTGACTGCATTAGAACTGGGAGCATAAACGGAAATCACAAACCAACAGCGTTTTGTACTATTTCGCGAATTCACCTTAGCTGATGTCGTCAAACGGGCTGCACATAAACGGCTGTTCAGCGGAATCCAATCAACCAACAATGACTCAGCCTTGGAGCTGAGAATGATACCTACACCAGCTTGACCCGTGAGTGCCGCATCGGCGTCTCCGGATGCATGCAACCAATAACGAGAGGATAAGCCGGGTGCAGTCAATTCAATAACCCCGTTAGGATCATTAATCCTAGGTTCGGACACACAACACACATCAATACGCAGTGTGTCCAAGGTGCGTGCGAGTGCAACCTGCTGACCTGTTTGTCTTAAAGTGCGGACGTTGAATGTCGCCATGGGAACGGGACAGCGTGGCCTTATATGGGACTTTTGCCGATAGGTGCTGTGGGATGGTGGCTTCAGATGGTACTACTCCAGTA